CAGGCAGGCAGGCAGGCAGGCAGGCAGGCAGGCAGGCAGGCAGACAGACAGACAGACAACTTTTCTCAGACAGTTGAAATCATGAATCAGCTGGCATCATTTTTATGGCTATATACAAAGAAATGCCAATAGAAAACAGGTAAAACAAAATGAAGTGCAACTAGTTTACAGTTTTTCCAGCTTCAGTTTGAAGTGATTGTGTAGCTGTGTTGTTGGCTAGCTCCTCTGAACAACAGTGTCCTGACGAGAGAGCACATTTTCTATGCCGGGCGAAATCGCGCATCATTAGCTCATTGTTTTGTATGTATCCAAATAAATGTCACTAGAAAACAGCTTAAACAAATACAAATGCAGCTACTTTGCTGTTAATCTGGCTGCACTGTTTGACGTGACTGTAAATTAGCCGTAGCTGGCTAGCTAGCCAGCAAGGGATAAGAACGTTGTCAGCCGGTATGGCAATGGAAACATTTAGAACGAACGACTGGGTCTCGTCCATAGATACAGAACAAAAAGCTGTTCCTGAAGACATATACGAAACACTCCAGTCTGGTTTTCGACCCCATCATAGACTGCACTTGTCCGGTTTTGCGCCCCCTCGGGCTCGTGCGGTGGAGATCTTCGTGGGCTATACTCAGCCTTGTCTCAGGGTAGTAGGTTGGTGGTCTGTTGATATCCCTCTGGTGGCGTGGGGGCTGTGCTTTGTCAAAGTGGGTGGGGTTATATCCTGCCTGGTTGGCCCTGTCCGGGGTTATGATCAGACAGGGCCACAGTGTCCCCCAACCCCCCCTGTCTCAGCCTCCAGTATCTATGCTACAATAGTCTATGTGCCGGGGGGCTAGGGTCAGTCTGTCCTATTTGGTGAAATTCTCGTCTTACCTGGTGACCTGTGTGAACTTAAGCTCTCTCCCGACCTGAGCCCTAGGACCATTCTTCAAGATTACCTGGTCTGATGACTCCTGTCTGTCCCTGTCCCCAGTCCACCTGGCCTGATGACTCCTGTCTGTCCCTGTCCCCAGTCCACCTGGCCTGATGACTCCTGTCTGTCCCTGTCCCCAGTCCACCTGGCCTGATGACTCCTGTCTGTCCCTGTCCCCAGTCCACCTGGCCTGATGACTCCTGTCTGTCCCCGTCCCCAGTCCACCTGGCCTGATGACTCCTGTCTGTCCCTGTCCCCAGTCCACCTGGCCTGATGACTCCTGTCTGTCCCCGTCCCCAGTCCACCTGGCCTGATGACTCCTGTCTGTCCCTGTCCCCAGTCCACCTGGCCTGATGACTCCTGTCTGTCCCCGTCCCCAGTCCACCTGGCCTGATGACTCCTGTCTGTCCCTGTCCCCAGTCCACCTGGCCTGATGACTCCTGGCTGTCCCTGTCCCCAGTCCACCTGGCCTGATGACTCCTGTCTGTCCCTGTCCCCAGTCCACCTGGCCTGATGACTCCTGTCTGTCCCCGTCCCCAGTCCACCTGGCCTGATGACTCCTGTCTGTCCCTGTCCCCAGTCCACCTGGCCTGATGACTCCTGTCTGTCCCTGTCCCCAGTCCACCTGGTCGTGATGCCGATCCAGTTTCTGCTGTTCTGCCTGTAGCTATGGAACCCTGACCTGTTCACCGGACGTGCTACCTTGTCCCAGACCTGCTGTTTTCGACCCTCTCTCTCTACCACACCTGCTGTCTCGGCCTCTGAATGCTCGGCTATGAAAAGCCAACTGACATTTACTCCTGAGGTGCTGACCTGTTGCACCCACTACAACCACTGTGATTATTATTTGACCCTGCTGGTCATCTATGAACATCTTGAAGAACGATCTGGCCTTAATGGCCATGTACTCGTTTAATCTCCACCCGGCACAGCCAGAAGAGGATTGGTCACCCCTCAGAGCCTGGTTCCTCTCTAGGTTTCTGCCTTTCTAAGGAGTTTTTCCTAGCCACTTGTGCTTCTACATCTGCATTTCTTGATGTTTGGGGTTTTAAGCTGGGTTTCTGTAGAAGCACTTTGTGACATCTGCGGATGTAAAAAGGCCTTTATAAATATATTTGATTTGACCTACCAGCTACCAGTCAACGCCTGTAGATTCAGACACTACCGAGTAGGGTCTATCTGCAGACCGGTGGGTGTGGCTTGTAGTGACAATCAACCACACACCTCGCCCACTAAATAGTGCCACGCGAGAGTTGGGTTCAATAGGGTCTGACTCTAGCAGATATTGTGCTAGCTAGCTATTTAGTGTTGTATTAGCTAGCCAGTTAGTGTTGTATTAGCTAGCCAGTTAGTGTTGTATTAGCTAGCCAGTTAGTGTTGCATTAGCTAGCTATTTAGTGTTGTTTTAGCTAGCCAGTTAGTGTTGTTTTAGCTAGCCAGTTAGTGTTGTATTAGCTAGCCAGTTAGTGTTGTATTAGCTAGCGTTGTATTAGCTATCATTGTATTAGCTAGCTAGTGTTGTATTAGCTAGTGTTAAGTTGCGTCAATTCAAATCTGGTATTTGGGACAAAAGAGGTCATTACACAGTATCCAAGTTAGTCTAGTATTTATTAATGCAAATGCTTAAATGGTAAATATGAGAGTTCGTATACGGGCTCACTGTAATACCACGCAGGGCAGACAGAGAACTGATCCATTGTTACAGGCTGTTCTTTAAATACCCTGACAGTGATAGTTCCCGCTCTCTGCTGGGCCTATCAGGGTAGAGACTGAGCGTGGTTCAGACTTACTCAGCCAATCGTTGGCGCACAGGCTGGTCCCAGTCCCTTGGCGCTCCACCGTTGCACACTGTTGCCAGGCATAAGTTGTTATCACACCCGTCTCGAGTCAGCACCCATAGACACCGTTCCCCTGTACTCTATGTACCTACGTCCTTGGACGGTTCACAGATCACAAAGAGGCAGTGTTCGTGTATTGTGAGACACAAGTTCTTATCTCCCCCTACTCCCTAAAACAGCTCCTCACATTAATCACAGCTTGTTAGGTTAAACAATTTATATCAGTACAGTACAAACCTTATGTTTAATCATTAATGCATTCTTTCTAAGCTAGGCATCACATCCAGTTACAAGAAAATAGATCCCCACACTAGCTAGTGTTGTATTAGCTAGCCAGTTAGTGTTTTATTAGCTAGCGTTGTATTAGCTAGCTAGTGTTGTATTAGCTAGCTAGTAATGCTTATATTGACTTAATGCTAGTGGGTGCGGCATGCAGTGACGTTATTAATGCTAATGGGCCTCGTGTTGTTACAAGTACCCTCGATGGCAGTGGGTGCAGGCGTGTAGTTACTACAGTCCGCTGATATTATTGATTACCGCCTACCAGTCAAAGCACAACATCGCCCTCTAGGATCAGAAATCAGTCACTATCCATCCTTTCACTGTGAGTGTCTAGCTAGTGTTTTATTAGATATTATTGATTACCGTCTACCAGTCAAAGCTCAACATCGCCCTCTAGGATCAGAAATCACTGTGAGTGTCTAAAAATATGTTGTCCTCTCCAAGCCTCCTCTCCTTCACTGTACTGATTAGAAATAACAGACCAGGTGAAAGCTAACCCAGCCTAATGATGAGCTTCCTTCCACCATATTCTTTTAAATTGTCAAGTCTCTTCCCATCGAATTTGCCATTGCACTCTTTTATAAACTGTCATGGCCCAGTTCCAACTTATCCAAATCATGCAGCAAATGAGGGTGTTTTTGTTACCATGCAAGGTGAATGGAGGGTGTTTTTGTTACCATAAAATACACCAGGATTTTATGAGCATTACACACAGTTGATGAGGCCCCAGGAGAGGATGGATTTTTAAGCAATTGAGAGACAGATTTAGCCTGTGACTGGACAGTGGAGTGGCGCCATCTAGAGGCACCAAACAATGCTACCACTTGACAAGAACAATCTACTGTACTGACGAGTCTTACAGTCAGACGTTTTCAGCAGAGAAAGCAGCAACACCACGATCAACAACCCTGGGCCTGCAGCGATACAGTTGGCACTTGATTCAACTAATTATGAGACTATTTCGCTGGGTCGTGTATTTGAGCGAAGGCTTACTCAGAAGTCTACAGCAACAGATAATGTATATACACAATAGTTACTTTTCAATCTGTGGAATACCAACCTGCCAGGCACACCTCTCCTACGACGGTCCTTAGTCTCACGTGACCATCCTTCCAAATCTCCTTCACTGGACGTGAGAAGCCTGAGATGGAGGCTAAAATAAAAATGACCCCAAAATAAACAGCAACCTAAAACCACCAAGGATATATAGTGTATTTATTTCTTTATTGGGCAGCTTTGCACAGTGAACATCAAAAGGCACCCTATACAGTGCACTACTTTTGACCGGATCCCTACGGGCCCTAGCTGAAGGTAGCGCACTATATAGGGTTTAGGGCGCCATTTCAGACACACCTAATGTATAATATACGTTTACTGCTTCCATACTAACTTTGGACAGCGTAGAAGAATAATCCCACACTTTCACAAAACAGAGGCAACAGTGCTTAGGACCGATGGGTGTACAGACGATAGTCTATAGTCTAAATGTTTATTCCCTAATCTACCCCCTAGCCGCTAACCCCTACCCCCTAGCCGCTAACCCCTAGCCGCTAACCCCTAGCCGCTAACCCCTAGCCGCTACCCCCTAGCCCCTACCCCCTAGCCCCTACCCCCTAGCCCCTACCCCCTAGCCGCTAACCCCTAGAGCACTTTATTAGATCCGTCCTCAACTTCAACGTCCCAGATGTGTCCCTGAGTTAAAGCCCTTCAGAGCCCTGGACACCTTCAGGGGTGAGTTTCCCAAAAACATCAAGTTCATCTTTAGCACTAAAGTCCACGAAGAATGACCTTAAGGCTGCAGACAATCTTTGTTTTTTGGGAAACTCACCCTCTTTCTGTCAGATCTACATGAGGTGCCTCACAGGTCTAGGTAGGGTTAGACTTTACAGAGCCTCCAAAATGGGATCGGGGTGGTCTTCAAGCGGTGGCTAGTGGTTCCTGTGCTACCCAGTAGTGGCGAGTGTTCACTGGGTAATTCCAATTACACCACAGGCCTGGCGACCCCCGGCGTTGCCCGTCTTCACACTCTCCTTGTTGCCTCCTTTCCCCAGGTCATCAGCCTTCTCATGGATCTAATGGTACAGAGGCAGGGAGGAGACGGAGAGATGGGAAAAGGTAGTAAAAACAGAGTGAAAGGGGGAGATGGGGCGAGAACAGGGTTGTGTTTACTTGGAGAACTTTCTGAGCATTTCCTTCAATTTCCTGTCTAGTGGATACAACATGCAGCTATAGGTCAGGCAATGTCTGTTCTTACCACCATGGTCCTGCCGATGATAGAGTTGGGTCCAGTGAGAGTCAGTATCTTGTCCTGGATGTTGATCTTAGCCACATTGTCAGCTCCTGCAGTCACGTTGCCAAGGTCCCCGACGTGCCTAGCAACACAGAGACAGAACGGCTGGTCAGAGAGAGGTCGGCAACACAGAGACAGAACAGCTGGTCAGAGAGAGGTCGGCAACACAGAGACAGAACAGCTGGTCAGAGAGAGGTCGGCAACACAGAGAGAACAGCTCAGAGAGAGGTCGGCAACACAGAAACAGAACGGCTGGTCAGAGAGAGGTCGGCAACACAGAGACAGAACAGCTGGTCAGAGAGAGGTCGGCAACACAGAGACAGAACAGCTGGTCAGAGAGAGGTCGGCAACACAGACAGAACAGCTGGTCAGAGAGAGGTCGGCAACACAGAAACAGAACATCTGGTCAGAGAGAGGTCGGCAACACAGAGAGAACAGCTGGTCAGAGAGAGGTCGGCAACACAGAGACAGAACCGCTGGTCAGAGAGAGGTCGGCAACACAGACAGAACAGCTGGTCAGAGAGAGGTCGGCAACACAGAGACAGAACAGCTGGTCAGAGAGAGGTCGGCAACACAGAGACAGAACAGCTGGTCAGAGAGAGGTCGGCAACACAGAGAGAACAGCTCAGAGAGAGGTCGGCAACACAGAGAGAACAGCTCAGAGAGAGGTCGGCAACACAGTAGTTTAACTCCTACGTGCACAACAACATAGCAAAACAAAAAGGTAAGACTGGGTGACTGACATTTCTAAACCACTTTTCCCCTCTTGTGTAGATCTAGTCAAAGGAAATCTTTGAGATTATAAAAGCATATTGGTTTGACACTAGAACTTGTTTTGCACATTGAGTGCATACTATGCTTCCATTCACAGGAGAAACTTGAAATGTCTCCATTAGTAGCTGAATTGGTAGCTTTTCGTGGCACAGCTGGCTAAGACATTGTCAACAGGGTAAGCATATGTGTTTGGTTGAAGCCTTTGTTCCCAGATAAGAAAGGAAGCAAAGCTCAGTCTCAGGATAGGAATTTCCATGACAAAATACAGCTCAAGACCAGAATCCAATCTCATTGCCTCCGAGGACAGACAGACTATGCGGATTAAGCCATAGAGCCAATCGAGGTTCAACCATGTTCTCTCCACCATGACGGTTCTGCTGGGACAACATAAAAGACAGTTGTTGAAGAACATCAGATGAGACAGACAGATGGTTTAAACAGAAGGAACAGGAGCAGATCATTGACATGCTAGACAGTGATCTCTCAAACAAGCCCCGACTGTTGTGCAAACATGAAACTCAGTGATAGTGGGGTTAGCTTATATCACTAGCCAGCCTGATCGGTTTTAAATGCTATAGTTCATTACCTTAACACAAGTAGAACTGTTGAGCTCAGAATTCTATATGCTTGATTCTAAGCATTCTATAAAACACTGGTGGGTTTTTGTATAACCATCTGGATAGCCGCAGCAACAGGTCATTTCTAGCGGCCATCTAGCAGGGCCTAAATCAGAGTTAGAAAGAGGTAGAAAGGATGGATAGAACCTGTTTTAGCACGGACACGGAGGGCCTCCAACATTTGAAAGTAGTGAACTGGGGTGGGACTTCCTATGGGTTGAGGAAGGCATCACATCATCCCATCCAGGTCAACAGGAGGGATCAGCCAATGAATTATACTGCTGAGAATACATTTCAGATCTGCAGGTGGGATTAAAATCACCAACCTTGGCTTTTATACCTGTTCAAACAACAACAGTCTGCGTAGCATTCAGTTTGTTTACCAAGAGAGTTTCTATATTTTATATATTTTTCATAGCTGTCCATTTAGCCCCACAAACCGATGCTGGCACTAAGACCACACTCAACAAGCTGTAGAAGCAAACAAGAAAACGCTCATCCAGAGGCAGCGCTTCTAGTGGACAGTGATTTAATGCAGGGAAACTGAAATACATTTTACCAGCATGTCACCTATGCAACTCTAGATCACTTTTATTCCACACACAGAAACGCATACAAGGCCCTGCCATTTGGAAATCAGACCATAACTCGATCCTCCTGATTCCCGTTTACAAGCAAAAACTCAAAATCAGGAAGTACCAGTACCACGCTCTCCGTTTGGCTGGAATATGTTTGGGGATTCATCCGATAACAGAGTTTACCAGTCAACAGCTTCATTAATACAGTGGATTTAGAACATATTTACACCCCTGGACTTTTTCCACTTTGTGTTACAGCTGGAATTTAAATATGATTAAATTGAGACTGTCACTGGCCTACACACAATACCCCATAATGTCAAAGTGGAATTGTGATTTTTTTTAAATAATTAATAAAAAAAATGAAAAGGTCTTGAGTCAATAAATATTCAGCCCCTTTGTTAGGGCCTATATAAGTTCAAGACACATAATAAGTTGCATGGACTCACTCTGTGTGCAATAATAGTGTTTAACATGATTTTTTAATGACTACTTAATCTCTGTACCCCACACATACAATTATCTGTAATGTCCCCCCAGTCGAGCAGTGAATATCAACCACAATGACCAGGGAGGTTTCCCCAATGCCTCACAAAGAAGGGCACCTATTGGTAGATCGTACATTTCAAACTCCGATTCAACCAAAGACCAGGGAGGTTTTTCCAATGTGTTTTTACAGGCAGTAGAAACAGCACGACTTTAGATAATTAGAACGCATTTCGCCAAAAAAAAATACACTTGAATGTATTTCTGCAAATATATAAATAAAATGGGAGTCCTCTTACATTTGGGAACTTTACAGTCCTCTTGATCAAACAACTATGAAAAGGTAGGCTCTCTCTCCCTCAGTTATGCACATCAACAAGATGATCAACAACTAATCCTAGCCAGAGCGAGAAGAGCTCAAATCTAACGAGGGTTTAAGCTTGTTGGTCGTCAAAATTGCACTGATAAATGATGGGGAATAGTAGCCTGCTCGTCCTTCTGCAGCTTGCCTGCCAATGCATGCTGTTCCCAACCCACATTTTGACAACTGAATGGGAACTTGCCTGCCTGCCCATTTGATCGATCACCTCCAATGATACGACATCCTCCCAGCAGCCAGCCAGCTCTAGCTAGCTAGCTAGCTAATGTTAGGCTCTGTGTTTTTAGCTTGCTAAATAAACAGATATGCTTGCTCAGGGGTGTCAAACTCAATTAGTGCCATAATGAAGAAACCTACGAATTCACGGACCAGCACAACTCAAGTTGAAGTCACCGATACATCAGGCTGTAATTTCATAAAGTAAATGACTCAACTGTTGACTCATTTAGACTCGCTTGTGTCCTAGTCTTGTTTGACACGTGCGCTAGCATATTAGCCATGTTATGACTGACTTCTGATCATTGCCCTTGTTAGTTTGATTGTATTTAATTAATGTAGTTGTGTCCTTGAGCTGTTCTTGTCTATTAATGTTCTGTTTTATGTCATGTTTCATGTTTTGTTTGAACCCCAGGAAGAGTAGCTGCTGCTTTTGCAACAGCTAATGGGGATCCTAATAAAATACCAAATTGTATTGACTATTTATTTTTGTATTATTTAACCCTTATTTTACCAGGTATGTGATGCTGGAGAAGCGTGGGCTAGTAGTTCTGGGCAGGTGTGATGTAGTTGAAAAAGATCAATACTGAAATAGAAAAACCAAGATTATTTTTCTAAAACAGACCCATGAGGCGGCGCACAATTGGCCCAGTCGTCCGGGTTAGGGGGAGGGTTTGGCCGGCTGGGCTTTCCTTGTCCCATCGCGCTATAGCGATTCCTTGTGGCGGGCCGGGCACCTGCAAGCTGACGTCGGTCGCCATTTGTACAGTGTTTACTCCGACACATTGGTGCGGCTGGCTTCCGGGTTAAGCGAGCAGTGTGTCAAGAAGCAGTGCGGCTTGGCAGGGTTGTGTTTCGGAGGACGCATGGCTCTCGACTTACATTTACGTCATTTAGCAGACGCTCTTATCCAGAGCGACTTACAGTTAGTGAGTGCATACGTTATTATTATTTTATTTTTTTCTTACTGGCCCCCAGTGGGAATCGAACCCACAACCCTGGCGTTGCAAACGCCATGCTCTACCAACTGAGCTACATCCCTGCCGGCCATTCCCTCCCCTACCCTGGATGACGCTGGGCCAATTGTGCGCCGCCCGATGGGTCTCCCGGTCGCGGCCAGCTACGACAGAGCCTGGATTCGAACCAGGATCTCTAGTGGCACAGCTAGCACTGCGATGCAGTGCCTTAGACCACTGCGCCACTCGGGAGCTCAACTCGGGACTTACACCTCTCCAGAGTCCTCACGGGAGTTGCAGCGATGGGACAAGACTAACTACCAATTGGATATCACAAAACTGGGGAGAAAAAGGGGTAAAAGTACAAACTTTTAAATAAAAAATCTGGGGAAGGGTACCAAAAAACATCTGCAGCATTGAAGGTCCCCAAGAACACAGTGGCCTCCATCATCCTTAAATGGAAGAAGAAGTTTGGAACCATCATGACAAACTGAGCAATCGGGGGAGAAGGGCCTTGGTCAGGGAGGTGACCAAGAACCCGATGGAGAAACTTCCATGAGGACAACCATCTCTGCAGCACTCCACCAATCAGGCCTTTATGGTAGAGTGGCCAGACGGAAGCCATTCCTCAGTAAAAGGCACATGACATCCCGCTTGGAGTTTGCCAAAAGGTACCTAAAGGACTCTCAGAACATGAGAAACAAGATTATCTGGTCTGATGAAACCAAAATTAAACTCTTTGGCCTGAATGCCAAGCGTCACATCTGGAGGAAATCTGGCACCATCCCTACGGTGAAGCATGGTGGTGGCAGCATCATGCTGTGGGGATGTTTTTCAGCGGCAGGGACTGGGAAACTAGTCAGGATCGAGGGAAAGATGAACGGAGCAAAGTACAGAGAGATCCTTGATGAAAACCTGCTCCAGAGCGCTCAGGACCTCAGACTGGGGCAAAGGTTCACCTTCCAACAGGACAACGACCCTAAGCACACAGCGTAGACAATGCAGGAGTGGCATCGGGACAAGTCTCTGAATGTCCTTGAGTGGCCCGGCCAGAGCCAGGACTTCTCTGGAGAGACCTGAAAATAGATGTGCAGCGATGCTCCCCATCCAACCTGACAGAGCTTGAGAGGATCTGCAGAGAAGAATGGGAGAAACTCCCCAAATACAGGTGTGCCAAGCTTGTAGCGTCATACCCAAGAAGACTCGAGGCTGTAGTCGCGGCCAAAGGTGCTTCAACAAATTACTGAGTAAAGGGTCTGAATACTTATGTAAATGTGGTATTTCAATTTTTATTTTTATTTTTTACAAGTTTCTACAAACCTGTTTTTTCTTTGTCATTATGGGGTGTTGCATGTAGATTGATGAGGGGAAAAAAACAAATCAATTTTAGAATAAGGCTGTAAAGTAACAAAATGTGGGAAAGGTCAAGGGTCAAAGGTCTGAATATTTTACGAATGCACTGTATGTCAATCTACTATCCCCCGTAGTAGAACATTTTACCTATTCTATTGGTGAGCTTGGTGGCCAATAGAATAGCACTGGGACAGTTGTGGGATGATCGATCCCAAATTCACACAACGAGTAGGCCTGGGTTACAATTTAATTCCACTAAATTATGGAAATTAACCTATAGACAGATAAGCATGACCAGTGAAATGTATTTACATCGACTGGTATTTACATCAATGATTTAAAAAACATTCCGCAATGGAATTTCTTCTCCCGGACAATTGGCCGGCGCAAATGTTATTTATCGGCTTCTAAAAATGTTTCGGGGTCAAAAGCCGGCTATTACCGGCTAACGGAAACCCTGCGCATCGACTCGGTACTGGTACTTCCTGTTTATAGCCATGTTATTACCTGGTACCCCTGCGCATCGACTCGGTACTGGTACTTCCTGTTTATAGCCATGTTATTACCTGGTACCCCTGCACATCGACTCGGTACTGGTACTTCCTGTTTATAGCCATGTTATTACCTGGTACCCCTGCACATCGACTCGGTACTGGTACTTCCTGTTTATAGCCATGTTATTACCTGGTACCCCTGCGCATCGACTCGGTACTGGTACTTCCTGTTTATAGCCATGTTATTACCTGGTACCCCTGCACATCGACTCGGTACTGGTACTTCCTGTTTATAGCCATGTTATTACCTGGTACCCCTGCGCATCGACTCGGTACTGGTACTTCCTGTTTATAGCCATGTTATTACCTGGTACCCCTGCACATCGACTCGGTACTGGTACTTCCTGTTTATAGCCATGTTATTACCTGGTACCCCTGCACATCGACTCGGTACTGGTACTTCCTGTTTATAGCCATGTTATTACCTGGTACCCCTGCGCATCGTCTCGGTACTGGTACTTCCTGTTTATAGCCATGTTATTACCTGGTACCCCTGCGCATCGTCTCGGTACTGGTACTTCCTGTTTATAGCCATGTTATTACCTGGTACCCCTGCACATCGACTCGGTACTGGTACTTCCTGTTTATAGCCATGTTATTACCTGGTACCCCTGCACATCGTCTCGGTACTGGTACTTCCTGTTTATAGCCATGTTATTACCTGGTACCCCTGCACATCGACTCGGTACTGGTACTTCCTGTTTATAGCCATGTTATTACCTGGTACCCCTGCACATCGACTCGGTACTGGTACTTCCTGTTTATAGCCATGTTATTACCTGGTACCCCTGCGCATCGACTCGGTACTGGTACTTCCTGTTTATAGCCATGTTATTACCTGGTACCCCTGCACATCGACTCGGTACTGGTATTTCCTGTTATAGCCATGTTATTACCTGGTACCCCTGCACATCGTCTCGGTACTGGTACTTCCTGTATATAGCCATGTTATTTTTTACTTGTTATTCACTGTGTATGTATTCCTTGTGTCACGATTTGAATTTAAAAAACAATTTCACCTTTAACTCTGTTGTTGGAAAAGGACCAATAAGCAAGCATTTCACTGTTAGTCTACACCTGTTAACAAACATTTTATTTGACTCGGAAGGAGAAGACATTGACCAAATAAAAATGGAAAAAGCCCTCAATGGCTCTGCTCATTAAAATAGAGATATCCCTCAATGGCTCTGCCCATTAAAATAGAGATATCCCTCAATGGCTCTGCCCATTAAAATAGAGATATCCCTCAATGGCTCTGCCCATTAAAATAGAGATATCCCTCAATGGCTCTGCCCATTAAAATAGAGATATCCCTCAATGGCTCTGCCCATTAAAATAGAGATATCCCTCAATGGCTCTGCCCATTAAAATAGAGATATCCCTCAATGGCTCTGCCCATTAAAATAGAGATATCCCTCAATGGCTCTGCCCATTAAAATAGAGATATCCCTCAATGGCTCTGCCCATTAAAATAGAGATATCCCTCAATGGCTCTGCGCATGCTGTCACAGTAGCCATTATGGCACAGATACAAAGATGAGTTCCCTTCTTACCTCAAATGGTCCAACTCCACTAGTGAGGAGGCAGACTCACCTGACGTCATCGGTGGGTCCTCCGTGGGTCTTGTTGTGGGGGTTGAAGTGGGGTCCTGCACTCACGCAGCCGTTGGTGTTGTCTCCGAAGGCATGGACGTGGAAGCCATGTTCCCCCGGGGCCAGACCTGAGATCTCCCCTGTCAGTTTCACTGGGGCTTCGTCACCCTGATAACAGAGAGACAAGCGTTGGTTGACACAAACACAGGGTGTAACACAGAGGAACACAGGGTGGAACACAGGGGGGGAACACAGGGGGGGAACAGATGCAGTGGAACCACAAGGAAAACACACACACATTGAAGTCACAGATGGACAGTCAAACACTCAGGGGGTAACCATTAGACTATAGAATGGGGTTTTAAATGAGGTGTCAAAATCTTGTGTCAGGATTGGGAAGACCGTTTCAATTAGCATATCAATGAGCCATGTGTTAGCACCTAGCCATGTGTTAGCACCTAGCCATGTGTTAGCACCTAGCCATGTGTTAGCACCTAGCCATGTGTTAGCACCTAGCAATGTGTTAGCACCTAGCAATGTGTTAGCACCTAGCCATGTGTTAGCACCTAGCCATGTGTTAGCACCTAGCCATGTGTTAGCACCTAGCCATGTGTTAGCACCTAGCCATGTGTTAGCACCTAGCCATGTGTTAGCACCTAGCCATGTGTTAGCACCTAGCCATGTGTTAGCACCTAGCCATGTGTTAGCACCTAGCCATGTGTTAGCACCTAGCCATGTGTTAGCACCTAGCCATGTGTTAGCACCTAGCCATGTGTTAGCACCTAGCCATGTGTTAGCACCTAGCCATGTGTTAGCACCTAGCCATGTGTTAGCACCTAAACCAAGAACTGTAGCTAGCTAGCTGTTAGGCTACTTTTGACATTTTGAGGAAGCAACTGTCAACCACACAGTCAGTTGGCCACACTACTTTTTATGCAAACTTGTCTTTGTTTTTTGACACCAGACTAGGTTCAAGGGGAAATTTTAAAAAAATGGGGGACGAGGCAGAATGACTCTAGCCTGGTCCCATATCTGTTGCTGTTATTGTCAAGCCAATGTTGCAGAAACAGACTGGCCCTCTGCAAAAGATGTTGCCTCTATATGCCATATCTTTCTAACTGTGGTCTTTCACAAAAGCTCTCAACCTATAACCTGTATACTTAGTATGAAAAATGTATGCACTCACTAACTGTAAGTCACTCTGGATAAGAGCGTCTGCTAAATGATTCAAATGTTTTTAAAAATGGACACAGTATGCTTTACATTAGTTATCTTGTTGTTATTAGTCCGATCCTTCAACTCCATTCAACACCTCCCATCTATCTCTTAACACCATCCATATTGGATTTCTATTTGCCATATATATTTTTCAACTGTGTTGTGATGTTTTACAAAAGTTCTGAACCTTTCTATTCTCATCGTTTCTACAGATTGTACATTGAAAATAAACATTTTTGCTAAAAGTGTTATAATATTATTGATCGATTGACCATGACTTTTTTCAGATCACCCAGTAATGCTATCTGCAGGGTTAGCTCCAGGTAAATATTGCAATCCTTCAGCCATTCCTGGACCTGTGTCCAGAAACAAGCTACAAATGGACAGAACCAAAACAAATGATCTAATGATTCTGTCTCCTCACAGCAAAATCTGCAGAGCTGGGAAGATTGAATCCCCCATATAAATACATTCTATTGGTAGCAAGAATTTTGAATAATAATTTTAAATGAAAAATCCTATGTTTTGAATCTGGCGTCGTTTTGCGCATCAGTTCATAAACACTACGCCATGGGATCGGTACGTCATAAATCTCTTCCCAACTATTTTGCAATCTATATGGGACGGCTGTCAATCCTTTGGTCCTTAAATGAACCTGGTATACTTTTTTATTTATCACAATTTTTTTAAACCAATTATGTTCTTTAATGCAAGGCCGACAGACAAGTTCCTTACTTTCTCCTCCTTCCACTTTCCTCTTCCATTTTTGCGGTAAGGCTGCAATTATTTGGTTGTAATTTTGGGTAGAGCAGACATTTCCATATGTTTTTGTTAGCTGCATGTGCAACATAACTTCACATGTCCTACCTATGATAACATTTACAAAGATTATACCTTTTTTAAACATTTTTTCAAAAAATAATGGTTTTCTATCAATTAGTATATTTGAGTTTAACCACAATATTTGTTGCATTATTTGTTCGGTTGTTTCTGGAGGATTAAATTGAAATTGCAACCAACTTTCAATGGCTTGTTTTAGAAATAGTGATATTAGGGAGATGATTTCCTTTTCAAATAACTGAAAGTGAGAGGTTGTAATCTGAATAAAGGGAAAAAGGCCTTTCTTGAACATTGGATGAGACAATCTTACTAATTTGCAAGAGAACCAGTTTGGATTTAAGTATAACTTTTGTATGACTGAAGCTTTTAGTGATAGGTCTAATGCTTTAATATTTAATAAGTTATGTCCTCCGAATTCATATTCATTATAAAAATAGGCCCGTTTAATTTTGTCTGGCTTGCCGTTCCAAATAAAATGTGATCTTTTTTTGTCATATAATTTTTTTTTTAAACTGTTCGCTAGGTGTAGGCAAGACCAGAAGCAAATAGACATTTATTTACCTTTCCATGGTAGCAAGATCTTATCTATTTTGCTAACTTTCTATAAAAATGTATTGGAGTGAGATCATTTATTTCCTTTGGGATATGTATTCCGAGTATATCCACATCACCATTAGACCATTTTATTGGTAAACTACATGGTAATGTAAAAATTGTATTTTTTTGTGATCCAATACATAATGTAGTTAATTTATCATAATTTGGTTGTAATCCAGAGAGGTTAGAAAATGTATCTAGATCCTCTATGAGGCTGTGGAGGGATTCAAGTTGTGGATTTAAAAGAAAACATGAATCATCAGCGTACAAGGACACCTTTGTTTTTAAACCCTGGATTTCTAATGCCTTGATATTATTGTTGGATCTGATTTTAATTGCTAACATTTCGATGGCCATAATAAATAGATATGCCGATAATGGACAACCTTGTTTCACACCTCTTGACAGTTTAAAACTTTCTGAGAAATAGCCATTATTTACTATTTTACACCTAGGGTTACTATACATGATTTTAATCCATTTTATAAGAGATTCTCCAAAATGGAAATGCTCCAGGCATTTATACTCTGCTCAAAAAAATTAAGGGAACACTTAAACACAATGTAACTCCAAGTCAATCACACTTCTGTGAAATCAAACTGTCCACTTAGGAAGCAACACTGATTGACAATACATTTAACATGCTGTTGTGCAAATGGAATAGACAACAGGTGGAAATTATAGGCAATTAGCAAGACACCCCCAATAAAGTAGTGGTTCTGCAGGTGGTGATCACAGACCACTTCACAGTTCCTATGCTTCCTGGCTGATGTTTGTCACTTTTGAATGCTGGCGGTGCTTTCACTCTAGTGGTAGCATGAGACAGAGTCTACAACCCACACAAGTGGCTCAGGTAGTGCAGCTCATCCAGGATGGCACATCAATGCGAGCTGTGGCAAGAAGGTTTGCTGTGTCTGTCAGCGTAGTGTCCAGAGCATGGAGGCGCTACCAGGAGACAGGCTAGTACATCAGGAGACGTGGAGGAGGCCGTAGGAGGGCAACAACCCAGCAGCAGGACCGCTACCTCCGCCTTTGTGCAAGGAGGAGCAGGAGGAGCACTGCCAGAGCCCTACAAAATGACCTCCAGCAGGCCACAAATGTGCATGTGTCTGCTCAAACGGTCAGAAACAGACTCCATGAGGGTGGTATGAGGGCCTGACGTCCACAGGTTGGGGTTGTGCTTACAGCCCAACACCATGCAGGACGTTTGGCATTTGCCAGAGAACACCAAGATTGGCAAATTCGCCATTGGCGCCCTGTGCTCTTCACAGATGAAAGCAGGTTCACACTGAGCAAATGTGACAGAGTCTGGAGACGCCGTGGAGAACGTTCTGCTGCCTGCAACATCCTCCAGCATGACCGGTTTGGCGGTGGGTCAGTCATGGTGTGGGGTGGCATTTCTTAACCCTAACCCCTTGTGAGACCATATGCTGGTGCGGTTGGCCCTGGGTTCCTCCTAATGCAAGACAATGCTAGACCTCATGTGGCTGGAGTGTCAGCAGTTCCTGAAAGAGGAAGGCATTGATGCTATGGACTGGCCCGCCCGTTCCCCAGACCTGAATCCAATTGAGCACATCTGGGACATCATGTCTCGCTTCATCCACCAACGCCACGTTGCACCACAGACTGTCCAGGAGTTGGCGGATGCTTTAGTCCATGTCCAGACCATCCGCCACCTCATCAGGAGCATGCCTAGGCATTGTAGGGAGGTCATACAGGCACGTGGAGGTCACACACACTACTGAGCCTCATTTTGACTTGTTTTAAGGACATTACATCAAAGTTGGATCAGCCTGTAGTGTGGTTTTCCACTTTAATTTTGAGTGTGACTCCAAATCCAGACCTCCAAGGGTTGATACATTTGATTTCCATTGATAATTTGTGTGATTTTGTTCTCAGCACATTCAACTATGTAAAGAAAAAAGTATTTAATAAGATTATTTCATTCATTCAGATCTAGGATGTGTTATTTTAGTGTTCCCTTTATTTTTTTGAGCAGTGTATATAAACTCCAGTCGTACTTTATCAAATGCCTTTTCAAAGTCTGCTATGAATAGCAGGCCTGGTTTCCCAGATTTTTCATAGTGTTCTATTGTTTCCAGTACTTGCCTTATATTATCTCCAATGTATCTTCCATGTAAAAAACCTGTCTGATTAGAATTATTAATGTCCGACATTACCTTTTTAATTCTATGCGCTACACATTTTGCTAGAATTTCCTCATCACAACACTGAAGTGTAAGGGGCCTCCAAAATTTTTTAAATGGACTGGATCTTTATATTTCCCACTTGTATCCTGTTTCAGTAATAATGAAATCAGACCTTCTTCTTGAGTGTCTGATAATCTACCATTTACATAGGAGTGGTTAAAACATGCTAATAACGGTCCTCTGAGTATATCAAAAAAGGAACTTACTAAAACACATTTTTACAGACAGTTAACAAAAATAGATAAGATCTTGCTACCATGGAAAGGACAACACTTGTCTATTGGTGGAAAAATCACCCTGATT